GCTGAGGCAGGAGGATTACCTGAATCCAGGAATTTGAGGTTACAGTAAGCTAAGATTCTGCCACAGAGTGAGACCCTACCTCAAAAATAATTTTAAAAATAAATAAATAGATGACCATAAAGCAACTCAAGAGCCTGTCATGTTGTGAGCAAAAACAGAATCCCCAGCGAGGATGAGAGGTTAGCTAGGGCCCACTATACTGGTGAATGTCTACCTCATTTTTATAGGCTGCCTGGGGCTGGAGCTGTCAAGATGCCGGGCTAAGCCCCCTGGAAGGGCCTGCAGCAATCCTTCCTTCCTTTGGTTTCAACTGTACTTCTATCAGGTCTACTTCCTGGAGAGTCAAATTGCCATCCTCTACGTCCATGGCCTTGCTTTCACCGTCCTGTTTGGCCTAGTGTCCTCTTCCCTTGTGGATTGGCTGAATCACATAAAGTCTTGTGTCCTCTGCTCCCTCACTGTTTCTCTATGCTGCTTAACCAAATTCTCTAGGGATTATTTGGTGCTACTGGTGGGATGAGGACTTGGCGAGCTGTCCACAGCCCTGCTTTTCTCAGCCTTTGAGGCCTGGTATACCCACGAGCATGTGAAGTGCCATGACTTCCCCGTGCAGTGGATCCCAGCTACTTTTGCCCAAGCTGTCTTCTGGAACCACGTGCTGGCTATAGTGACAGGTGTGGCAACTGAGGCTTTGGCAAGCTGGATGGGGCTGGGGTCTGTAGTGCCCTTTGTGGCTGCCATTCCTTTCCTGGCTCTGGCTTGTGCCCTGGCCCTTCACAACTATGACGAGCAGTGTGCCTTTTCAATGACCTGTGCTGGGGGCCTGCACTGCCCCTGTCTGACCACCATGTGCTGCTGCTAGGCACCATACAAGCCCTTTTTGAGAGTGTCATCTTCATCTTTGTCTTCCTTTGGACTCCCATGCTGGACCCACACAGGGCATCACTGGGCATTGTCTTCTCCAGCTTCACGGCAGCCAGCCTGCTCTGCTCTTCCCTGAACTGCATCACCACCTCCAAGAGGTCCCACCTGTAGCCCAGGCATACTCTCCCTTGCTGTCCTCATCGTTGCCTTCTCTCTCTTCTTGTTGACTTTCTCCACCAGCCCAGGCCAGGAGAGTCCAGTGGAGTCCTTCATAGCCTTTCTATTTATTGAGTTAGCCTGTAGGCTATACTTTGCCAGCATGAGCTTCCTACAAAGAAAGGCGATCCCTGAGACAGAACAAGCTGGTGTACTCAACAGGCTCCGGGTGCCCCTGCACTTACTGGACTGCCTAGGACTCCTTGTCTTCCATGACAGCGATCGAGAAACAGGCACTCAGAACCTGTTCAGCTTCTGCTCTGCTATCATGGTGATGGCTCTGCTGGCGGTGGTGGAACTCTTCACTGTGGTGGAACTCTTCACTGTGGTAAGGCCTGAACTACGGGTGTCCTCACCCACTGGAGAGCCCTATGCTCCTGAACTCTCAACCAGTTCCAAGACAAGGCACCTGAAAAGAACTTGAATCCTGTCTCGCCAGGGTTGTACAGATTTATCTGTGGCTGACTTTGTGACTCTTTCCTGCAGCCCCTCCTGCCAGCACTTTGTGTTGGGGTGGACATGAAGGTAATGGGCTGGAAAGAAGGTACCAAAAGTTACCTCTGTATTATTCCTTTTCCTCTTCCCATTTAAAAATAAATACTTGTAACTGAAAAATACATACATACATACATACATAAAATAATTGTTTTAGTTTTAAAGAGTAAAACTCTGAAATGTAATTACATATACATTAAATGTACATAAATTATATATATATAAATGAAATATAATTACACAGTAACTATAAATGTATTTCTCTTTTCTACAGATTGGAGTTCAAAGAATTATTTCAACTGCATGGAATGTTTTTCAACCACTTCTTTTTGGTTTAGTTGGATTAGAAGTATCTGTTTCATCTCTTGAATCAAATAGTGTTGGTAAGAATGATTACAGTACAAACAACATAAGGTTCAAATAATTTTAAGAAAAATATGAATATTTTAGTTTTTATTTACAGTCTGTCTTTGAATAAAAATAAAGACCTTCAGAAACATATATTGACACAGTAATATATATTTGCTCCTCTTCTTTTCTGTGTATTTGTTTTTGTGAAAAGATAGCACTGACTGTCTTCCCTGAGGGATCTAAGGAAATAGAGATAAGATTTCTTTTCTGAAGGAAAATATTAGATATCATCAGTACTTTTTGAAAACTTTCACTGAAAAATATTCAAAAAACTTCTATTAATTTAGAATTGAATGTCATCTTTCTTATTTTTCACGGTACGTCCACCCTCAGATAACCTCTTACACTCTACATAGAAGCTTTAATCATATTTGTATTTCTTATATTACCCTAACTAAAAAAAAAAAACCATAAACGTAGTGTTAAAATGCTTTCAAATGTTTTAGAAATCTGTGCATAAAGAATCACTTCATCCTAAATATTCTGTTTTTTATGTTCATACTTTTATCTGTTGTAGGCATTTTTGTTGCTACTCTGAGTTTGGCATTATGTGTTCGAATTTTAGTCACATTCACACTGATGTGTTTTGCCGGTTTTACTTTTAAAGAGAAAGTATTTATTGCTTTATCATGGATTCCCAAAGCTACAGTCCAGGTAAGAATATATTAAGTCATTCTAATATTTTAGTTTTTATGATTTTTTAAAATTCTAAATGAAGAATATTACTCTAATCACAAAACATGGGCTATTAGCCTTACTCATAAAATTAATGTGAACTCTTTAAAAGTTTTAAAAGAAATTCTCCTGAAATTGAAATGTATACTTTTAATGACAAATATTTTTCAAATTTATGAAATAATTTTTTGTATTTCCTCCAAATATGAGCATACCTGAATACTAGAATTTTTGTATTTTACTGAATCTCATAGAACTAAATATTGTGATTTTAAAGTAGGGACATTAATTTTTTTTTTTTTAAGACAGGGTCTCATTATGTCGCTCTTGGTAGAGTGCTAAGAGATTCTCTTGTCTCAGCCTACCAAGTAACTGGGACTACAGGCACCCACCATAACACTCAGCTATTTTTTGTTGTAGTTGTCAATTGTTATTTAGCTGGCCCGGGCTGGATTCAAACCCTCCACCCTTGGTGTATGTGGCTGGCACCATAACCACTGTGCTATGAGTGCTGAGCCAGGGACATTAATATTTTAAAAACACTTTTCCAACCACTCATTCCACCACACAAATGCACACATTATTCTTAACTATTTAGTTAAAGATTGAATCACTTTCCCTGAATAATCTATACAGGAAGGACAGGGACAGTGTATTTTTTCCATTACTTTCTTCTAGCACTTTGTAGCAGACTTTTCCCAGAGTGTTTGCCTGGAAGAAGGTAAATATGTATTACGTGTCTATAATAAATATCCCTACAGTAATGAATGAGAGACTTTGTAATTTTTCCGTCTTATTCAGTGATACTCTCCTCCTCCTTAAAGATAATGCTGTTTATTATTAGACTGTTTAACTTGGTAGCATAATACCTTAATTTCCTAGGCTTCTAAATTTCCATGCAACAAAATTCTATATTATCATGGTTCCAAAAGCAGGGCCATAGGGCCAGATTACCTCTTTTAAATACCATGTTACTTCCCAATAACCTTAGACAAGTTATTTCCCAATCTCTCAATGCCTCAGTTTCCTCATTTAAAATGATGTCTATGACTGTCTATTTCATAGTGGTCTTGTGAGGATTAAATGAAATAACCCACATGCTTAGCAGTCTCTGGCATATGGTGGGGCTCAGTGAACAATGTTGTTATTTTATCTGCAAGAAATATAAA